GATGTGAGAGCCTGGTCCGGTGAGAACCCGGCGTGCTCCGTCCCGGCTTTGTAGGGATGCGAGGTCAATGGTCTAACGACTACGGCATGCACGACTATGAGTACACCCCCCCCGCCCGACACCGAATCTCGACTGCCTTTTGTCCATCACACCAAACGAACAGACTCCGAAGGAGGGGAAGTGGTCGTGTCCCATCTGCCGCAAGAGGACAGCACACTTGGAGCGAGAGGCCAAGGCCCAGGCCAAGCGAGACCAGAAGAAGCGGGAGCTTGCGGCCAAGTTGGCCAAGTCGCCCGTCAAGACGGTTCGTTTTTTTTTTTTTTTTTAACCTATTTGCACAACAATTTCTGTTCCGCAGCAAGAATCCAGGATAAATCAGCAATGATTTCACTGCGTTAGCGGAGGCACTTCATGAGTTTGCCTACGCAACAACGTCCCCCCTGTGGGTAACAGGGCCAAGGGGACATTTTTTTTTCGTTTCTGTTTCTTCTTGGGGGTGGATTGAGTACGAGAGTTGTGCATTTGCGCCCCCCCCCCTCCTTTTGTTGTACGAGGTCCATGTCTCGTCCTGGGGAGGGTGTCGCCTCGGAGGTGACTGCCGCGGCTGTCTAGGGTTCCGTCTCGTGGACGCTGCTGTCTATTGTGTTGCTGTGTCGAGGAATCCTCGCTCACTCCGCATAGTCATTCCGTCACTCGGTCTGTCTCGGTCTCTAAATCTCCGTCGACCGGTGGCATGTGAGTGGTCTCCATACACGCCGTTGTCGGTGGCGGAGGCCGAATTGCTAGTTCAACAATGAATTTGACATGGGTGGGGGGGGGCGTACTCTCATGTTCTGCATGCCTTAGCGGTTAGACCATTGGCCACGCGTCCTCGAGAGGACGGAGCATTGTTCCTACCGGACCGATCACCGCTGGCCAAACATTCCTTTCTACTTTGCCAAAGGTGGCTCAAAAATCTCTTCCCTAGTCTGTCTATCCTAACGATATCCCTTCGCGACTTTACAACCCACCTCCTATGCCCCAGTACAGCTACCGTTCTTTCCTCTCTTTTCCATGCCTCAAACATCTCCAGTACGTCCCGTCTATTGTTCCCAGCTCAGTCACGTACACTTCCCTCTCCTTCTTGTACCACGGACATTCCGCGACTACATGAACACGGTCTTCGCATTCGAAGCCGCAATCACATTTGAACTCGTCGTCTTCGTCGTGTACCGTCCTATGTCTTCGTCGACGTTCTCGAAGGCCCTATGTCCCCTGTCCTGAATTCGACCTTAAGCTTTGTTCCTGCATCCATTGGTCCATGTAGGTAATCCTTGAACCCTATTCCTTCCTTCATCATTCCGTACACTTCTAGACCCTCCTTATCCTTGGATTCTTTCTTCAGATTCTGTTCTTCTCTCTTGGCACAAGCAACATTTATCTTCTCCTTGAACCCCCTCCGTTTCCAGCGTTTCATCTTCGTCGATGTCCAGCCCCTTCCATACGTCCTCTACAACCTTGACCCATTCCGTGGGTTGACATGGGGGGGGGGGGGGGGGGGGGNAAAGCCGGGACGGAGCACGCCGGGTTCTCACCGGACCAGGCTCTCACATCACCAAGCGCGAAGCGCCGTGAGATATTCGGCGAGTCGCATGAAGGGTGCGCTGCATCCTGCTAAGGGTGTTCGGCATCTTGTGCTTACTTCCTTGCGTACGGATGACAGCTGCGTATGAATTGACATGGGGGAGGGGGCAATTATGACTTCGACAACAACCACGGCAAAGACGGCAATGGTAAACCATGGTGAAGCCCGCATTGACATAGCAGAGTACAACCAACCTGCCAGGGCCCAAAAATTACAAGCGAAGCACCACCGCCCCGAAACCGCGCCCTCTTGCCCGACGAATCTCCTTGGCAGATCAAGCTGGAAGCGACGGACGGACCTCGGAACATAATCGGCATCATCCTCCCGGAACGGTCGGTGGAGAGCGTGTGCGACGCCCTTCGCGGATACGAGGTGGGTCGAGTCGAGGGTTCGTTTGTTGTGTGTCCCGGTTCGGACCTGGAAGCTGGAGAGGTGCACCGGTTTTGAGGGGTCCCAGAAGCTCGCGAGCGTTTGTCCATGTAGTCGCGACTTGGTTGTTTTAATGGGCTGAGAATATGTGAGCGGAAGGTGTCTGCAAGGGTGTTGCATGCGTGGCTGTGTGACGGTAAGAAGAGGTAACCACAATGTCTCTTCCTGTTGTCATGCGAGCGTGCGGTGTTTGGTGTTTGCTCGTGCCCACAAAAATCGACATCTTGCTACCGCCTCGTTCTCGCCTACCTCGTCACCTCGTATTCCTTCTGTATGTCGCCTACTCTTCGCCTCAAAACCCTCATGCTGTATCTCGCCTACTCGTCACATCGAAACCCTACTGCTGTTTCTCGCCTCCTCATCATGACCTCAGACCCTACTGCTGTATCTATGGTATCTCCTTACGAACAGGCCGAGCTTGAGAAGCAGCGCGAGGCCGGGGAAAGAAGGGAGAGGGAGGAGAAGGAGGCCCGGGAGGCCGCGGAGAGGGATCGCCAGGAGGCCAAGCGCGCGCAGCAGGCCATGAAGCTCGAAGAGCGCAACAAGCAGAAGGGCAAGGTTGGCGGGGGCGGAGCCGGAGCCAGAGGAGACGTGAAGAGGGAAGAGGAGGCGAAGGAAGAGGAGCAAGACGGAGGTGCCCCTGTGCTGTCTTCGCTGGACGGGCGTGGGTCGTTCAACGGGGACCTGGTGCAGCTGCTGCAGGGCGGAGGGGGATCGCGGGCGGCGAAGAGGACGGCAATGCAGCAGATGCAGAGGGACGCACGGGGAGGGGGAGGGGGAGGTCCTGCAAAGACGCGGGCCGGGGAAAGCGGCGGGAAGGGGGCGAAGAAGGCAGCGGGCGGCGGCGGGGGGGGCGCTGGAGGCGTCAAGGAGGAGATTGGGAAAGGAAAGAGGCAGAAGAAGGGAAGCGAAGACGACGACGAGAAGCCCGTCAAAGAAGAGAGGGATGCAGGGGGCTCCGCAGATGATGGTTCGTCGAGCGAGGAAGAGTACGACGATCCGTGTCTGGTGTGCGGCGGCCTGGACAACCCCGATAAGGCCTTGCTCTGTGACGGGTGCGACGGGTGCTACCACGTGTACTGTCTCTCCCCACCGCTGAAGCGCGCGCCCAAGGGAGATGTGAGTCGTCCTTGTTGTTGGAGTAGAGATTGGGAGAGGGGGGGGGGAAGTACTCATGCCGTAGTCGTTAGATCATTGACCTCGCATCCCTGCAAAGCTGGGGCGGAGCACGCTTGGGTGTAGTCTGTTGTGCACATGTACCATGGTACGATTTCGATGTGCTTGCTGCTTCTGTTTATTGCTTTTTCCGGTGGCATGTGAATCATGTATCTTTTCTTACGCTCCCTTCCGAGGTGGATGCTGGAGGATCTTCGGTGCTGCTTCGAAAACTGCACTAACTAAAACCCTCCCCCCCCCCCC